GGATGACTTTTTGCTGCCATTAGAGGCTTCAGAGTGAAGACCTAATATGCAAGTGTGGTAAACTGCATGCATGGGACCTGCCTATATTACATATATGTGATTAATATTATCTGAATGGAAGAAGATGTAGCATAAACTGTCAATACAACTGGGACAACTTACAAAACCAGAAAATTTGCTTCTGAATGAAATTTTTGTTCATTATGCAAAAGAAATGTGAGCCAGAGGACATGCTTACAGCAGGGTGACTTCTTCATTTGTGATAGATTTGTGCATGGCATTGAGAACAAATCTGGGAATACAAGGTGACTGTACATCCATAGATAGATGGAATCAACTACTTTTTAATAGTTTATTAACACATCGATCAGTGTTTCAAAATCAAACCTTTTTAGAGATGTTTGCTGACTTAATGTTCACAACTGCATTTCAAGCAGTGCTTCTTACAGGGGAAGAAAAAATAACCCCCATGAAACCTTTCTCTGTAATAACCATATTGGCTGGAGCTGTTTTCAAAACAGCTTATATATATATATATACATATATATGTATGAAAAAGAAGCAGTTTCTGGCAGACAAAAAACCTTTGCAAAAGAGGTTTGGCAGAGTTCAGTAATGCATTGCACCATGCTCTTTTCACTCACAGTGAGTAGAATTGTAAGACAAATGGAAAGAGGTCACCTGGCCTTTAGTATATGCATTACAAAGTCACATCTTATTCTAGTAATTGTCATTAACAGTAAGATATTTTTTCTAAATTACAATGAACCTTTATACAAATGTATTCTTCAGTAGAGCTATGCTATCTACAGCATATTTAACATATGTAATTAAGTTGTCCCTAGCCTTGACTATTTGGCAAAAATATTTCCATCCTATTTATATTTTGAAGCATTTTTCTGTTACTTTTCAGTAGCATGAAAAGTGAAGTACAAACTTTACAAACCAGGAACTCTGGTCAAACACCAGATTAGTCAATAGAGATACTCAGGGAATTCAGTCTTTAATGCACTAGATCATTACTGCTACTGCTGGATCCTGGGTTGCTGTTGAAATTTACCATCCATGTTTAATGTGGGATGAATGAGTAAACAGTTCTTAGACTGCAGAAGGGACAAATCCTATAATACAGTGATTGTGTTTACTTGGTGTATGGGAACTGAAGGTTAAAATTGCTGCTCCTGTGATTTGGGATAACGACATATGAGATACGGGGAAAAAATTGTCCCAACCCTAAGCACTCGCAAAAGAAGCCCCAAAGCAGAGGGAAGTGTTGATGTGTGGGACAATCAGCTGTTGCAGGCGGGCAATTTTTTTTCTGAGGAATGGGAGTTTCTGAGTTATGATTCCATTCAGTCTCCAAGATTAATTCAACCTTAAACTAACCTTACAGTCATAGCAACTTTTTTATCTTATGACCAGGATTACCATCTTTTTTTAGAAGTTTGAGTACAAATGAAATGACATTTTGAATAAAAAAAATGCACAACATGGTTGGAAAATTCAAATTTTTACTCTCTGTATGAGAAAGTCTGAGGAGAACAGGTGTCATTGTTGGAATTATTTCAGTAGCTCCAAAACCACCTAAAATACTTAGGACCACTGCTTAAAAAATTATAAGAATCTTTCAAAAATATAAGCTTCCAGAAACATACTATTTCACGCTAACAGTATCACCCACACAGCTTGTATCAGAAATAGTGTGGTCAGCAGGACCAGGGAAGTGATGGTCCCCTGTACTCAGCACTGGTGAGGCTGTGCCTCAAATCCTGTGTTCATTTCTGGGTCCCTCACTGCAAGGAGAACATTGAGGCACCGGAGTGCTCTGTTATTGGAGGACAGCAGGGGTGGTGAAACATCTGGCCACAAGTCTGAGGAGCAACTGAAGGAGCTGGAGTTGTTTAATTTGAAGAATGTGAATCTCAGGGGACATTTTCTCACTCTCTACAACTACCTGAAAGGAGTTCATAGTGAGCTGGGGGTTGGTCTCTTTTAAAAGTAGCAAGGCATAGGGTGAGAGGAGGTGGCCTCAGGTTTCACCAGCAGGGGTTTAAATTGGATATTGGGAAAAACTTGTTCATGGAAATGATGGTCAGGCATTAGAAAAATCTGTCCAGGGAAGTCATTGAGTCACCATCCGTGGAGGTATTTAAATGATGTAGATGTGGTACTTTGGGCCACAGTTGGACTTGATCTTTTTCAGCCTTAATGACTACATGATTTTATGGCTGGTATGCACAGTATGAAAAAAGTCCAATGTGATAGGAGCGCAGAAACTTGGTTTGAGAACTTATTGATGTAATCCATCTTATGAGATGTCAAAATGAATATAAAATCCTCTCAAATTCAAGAATTTAGTTACAAAAGTGTATTCCAGTCAAAAATAGGAAAATTATTGTTTCACATCATATAGGAGAAATAGTATTCCCACTTACATTGTAAATAAATACATACTAAATTATAGTAATTTCTTCTGAAAAATATGTTAAAATGTGATATTTTACATCTTTAAAGAACATAAAAAAGGAATAAGGAATGTTTCAAATATTACAGATAACCTTATGTCACATACCTTGTTAGGTGATACATCTAATAGCATGATGTAATCATATTTTCCAAATTCTCTATTACAATTGCATTGTTTTTTCCAGAAGTACACTTAGCCAGTGCCACACTGGGAACCACACTAAAGAGAAAATCCTTGCAATATGTTACTGATATGTGTATTGAAGATTTTGGGGTGAGATAGTATCCAAATTAAAATGTTCTGGGACACAACTACTTCTTTCACTCAAAAATACTTGAAATATTACAGTCCTAATAATTGTACACAGAGTTTTTGTCTACAGGTACTGCATATATGGGATCATAGTGATTTTGATATTTTTTTAATTCATAGGAATAAAAATATGTGGTGTTTGATTTTATATTTGCCATTTGATTATCATATTTTTTATCAAACAATTAAAAGACTACCTCCCTGGGGAAACTAGTACTGAAATTTGTTATGTGCATTCATACTTGTGTCTATATGTATGCATTGCCTATAAATAGCTATTTCTCATAAATATTTTACATGAATCAAAAATAGTTTAAGGGCAAGGTTGAGTACTTCATTTGTTTCAATATAAAATTAACTATATTTGTGTATCACCTGAGAAAGTATTGCACCATCATTGGGCTGTAAGTAATTTGGAACAATATTGAATAAAAGAACAAAACATGGAGGGTGGCTGAGATTATGGCCCTGTATCTGTTACTTCTGAAAGAGAATAGAGATTGGAGAACATCCATATTTCATTAACAGAGATATTTTACCTACTTAATTATGTACTGGCTATATATAATGAATCCACTGGTGTACTGCATAAACAATATCTTTTGTACAACAGCATTGAAAATGAGGACTTTATATGGAGATAGAGTATCAGTCACTGCTTTTCACATTTTTGCTCATTAATCATCATCACTGCATACATAGTAGCAGTTCTTCCAGAAAATGCCTGTAGAAATTGTGTATCTGGAAGACAAATACACCAGTGCGCTGATCCCAAAACTGTATATATTTAAAAAGTTTAAATACTTTAGTAATAGTAAAGACATACTGTTTTACAATCATGGATTAAGATTTAATTGATGCCCTGGATTTGGAGCGATATAAATATAGTCAACAGTAGAATTTAAATAGCAAAATAAAAGAAGTAAATGATATTTATTTAAATATGTATCTGTTACAAATTTAGACTTCATACATAAGCAAGTTAAAGTATACTGTTCTTTTTCAGCATGTACTGAGAAGACACTTCAAAATAAAGAAAATTCAAGAAAATAATTATTAGCATGCTTAGATCATTTTTTCTTTAGTAGCTATGTTAATTTCTAAGCTAAATTATAAATTGAGTTTCCTATTCCTGTTTCACTCCTTATCAAGTAACTGTTTACATTACAGAGAGCTACTTGCTATGGGAGGAAGCACAGTATAATGGAATGCTGGGTGCAAGGATAGCTTGGTGTATTTTCATATTTTTAGTTAAAAAACAGAAGTATTGCCCAAGGATGAGGATGTTGAAAATATGCTTATTTCTTTTTACTCCCATAAGCACAAGCTGTAACACATCTGAGCATAAATATTTATGTGTGTGTGCGTGTGTGTGTGTGTGTGTGCATGTGTACACCTCAAAAGTATTTTAAGAAAGTATATTGAATACAAATTAAAACATATTCTTCACTAAATCTTTCAATAAAGAAATGCAAGTTCTTTATCATGGTAAGTAAATATTTTCAGTGAATTTCTAGGTTTTTCTAAAGAGCAGGAGATGTAGTATTTTTTCAACCAAGGTTGGTTGTGGACCAATTTCATTAATAGAGATTGACTCAACTCTGTTTCACTTTTGTTTACAGTCTTGTTTTAAACATCTTTTTGCTCATATGGGAAGCAATATTAACTTTTAAAGAGGTGTTTATGGTTTGTCTTGGTCGAATCAAGTTGTGTAAAACTCTAATGATCATTTTATTTACATTATTTGCATCCAAAATTCAGGTTTGTGGCTATTTCTTCATAAATTTTAATGAGGATGAATAAAATGTTGTTATTGAAGAAAGTAACTCAAGGCATTATTTCCTCAAGGTTACAGAACAGAATTAAAAAATTGCATTTCTTGTGTAAAAACATAATTTTGTAATTTTTAACATACTTTTTTGGTTTATATTATTCTTTTTTAATAGCACATTAATTTGTTTTTGTTTTTGAAGAAATCACTTTTAACTAAAGTACTGCATTGTCACAGAATATGATACATTTTTTCAAATATTTTCAATTTGTTCTTCTTGACATTTTATGTTTATGTGCAGTTTGCATCTTTTTTGGTTTTCACTTTCAAATGTAACAGATTTTGACATTTTTGTTACATTTTTTGTACTAGTGGTTTTTTTATTTTTGAGAACCTGCTGGTTTTGAATTCTCTTTTTTCCCTTTATTCCCCTCCTCAATATGATCCCAGGAGCCAACACAAAGAAAAGCGCAGATGATATAACCAGTAATGATCGTGGTGAAGATGAAGGTATTTTTTGTTTTTTCAAAGCCTGACCCTGATGCATGAACATAAACTTTTCAATTTTTGTTATACTAAGAATGATTATTGTTATTATTATTGCTGTTATTTCAACATGATTTTTAGTCCCTTATTTGCAGAAGCTCACATCAGTGTGCTTCTTTATTTTCTTCTTTAGAATTTGCTTTGATTGTTTTTCTTTTTAAAATATAAATTAGCATATAGATGACTGCAGTTCCTCCGTGACATAGGTGTAAAGTTTATTCCTAAATATATGTGAAGTGAGTAACATAAATGTTGTTTGAAACCACATATTTTTTCCCCTTTATTCTTTCTTAGGCTGAGAAAATGGAATTTAAAAACATGCATGTGCTCTTTTCCCTCCTACACGTTTTGTATATTCACTTGTTCGAAATTCATGAAAAAAGTCACATATATCCTTCCTTTCACTTCCACTGTTTCCCCAGTGCACATGCTGTACATTGATACAGTTGAATTGTGCTTTGTCTTTGCTATTTTTATTTACTTATTTATATTTTTTTTCTCACAGGATGTGGTTTATTTCAGGACACAAAAATAAAAGAAGCTGTTGATACTGCTTTATTGTTTTTTTTTTCCTGTAATCAGCTAGCTTCTGAGACATTCATTCTGACTCTGACCACATTCCCACTGAAATCAGTAACAATAATTTTCATTGACTTCTTTCAAAGTTGGACTGCGTTTCCTGAATAAAATGTAAAAGTTCACAGTGAAGTACCCGAAAAAAGTTTTAGATATAAATTATTTTTTTTCTTGTCTTGATGTAACAAATCTATTTAGTATGCACCAAAATAGAAAGTCATGAAATCTTCCTCTATTCTCACCCTTCTTTTTATTAAAGTTACATTGTCAGTTTACATGTATTTACCAAATTAAGAAAAAAACGTTTTCACATTAAATCAGAAGATAAATATCCTGGATAGTTTATTGGTCTGGCTTCAAAGCAGCATGTTTATGAATCCTCTCAGGCTTGACCAATCCAAAGTGTTATTCTATGTCTTTTTTCCTGTTTTTTTCCCATCTGACAAAATTTCAAATGACTTTGAAACACATGTCCTCTCTATTTCACTTAGAATCATACACAGAGCAGTGAGGATACTATTACTTCTTTTCCTGGGAGTTCAGGTCTATTGTATTACTCTGTTTGTATACAAAATACCATATTAAAAACCTCAGGTCTTTGATTCATGCTGATTGCCTTCTACTCCACCACCTTCAGTGCTGAATTACCCTCTTTCTTACAATACAGAAATACTGCACAGAGTACTCTAAAATTACTCTGTTGCTTTCTGATTATCAGCTTCCTATTTCTGTGCATTTTCAAACAATGGTAGTATCATTTCTATACCAAATTCTGAAGTTAATTTTAAAATAAAGGACAAATAACAGGCAAAACCAAAGTTGCTTTAAAAATAAAGATAAATACTAGATTATGAGCATATTATTATTCAACCATTTTTAAAATGTATAAAATGTTAGGATTTCATGATTAACAAAGATATACACTTTGGATCTAAGCATATAAAATATCAAGCTTTTTTCTTTTATGTTGAAAATAATAATAATGTTCCCATTGAAAAGGAAAGGGAAACCTTCTATTGACTTCAGCAGTGAAAGATTCAACCCTGAGGTAGAATAAGGTAATAAGAAAAGATTAAATGCAAAAAAAAATTGTACCATGAGATTTTGGGGAGAGAAGGGAAAGGTAATTCAGCAACACAAATTATTACATTAAATAATTGTTGGTTTCAGATTTTTTGAGGTCTTAGCTGTGCCTTCAGAGAAGAAGCACTTATCTACTTTGTTGAAAATGCTGACAATAAAAAAAATACATAGACTAGAATGCATCTCATTGCTTTAAATGATCTGTTTAATTGCTGTACTACTCTTATAGTCACAACAATTAAAAAGATCTTATCACAAAAACTTTTGTTCATCTGCTCAAGTACAATGTTTCAAATACAACATATAAGGATATATCTTTTTGTGGAAAGGAGGCAGAATCAATGGCAAGCCTTAACTCTGACAAGTAGATGGGTGTACATTGCTGGACATTCCTGAATTCAGCTGGAAATTTGTGATATTTAAAGTATACACATGAGTAAAACAAAAGTGGAACACAGGAATATGATAGTTAAAATTTACCTTTAAATACGCTCTAATTAGTTCCACATATATAGTTCCACTGACTATCTGGTATCTGATTGGTGATCACATTTTTTATCTCAGTATTTCCTAATCAACCTGAGGGGAGGGAGGATGTTTGGAAGCTTTTCAAATGTAGATCCCTCTCCTGTAGGTATTTAGCTCAGCTTTTTCTTTGTCCACCTCCCTTCTCCATTCTTCAATACATTCTTATCCAAAAGATTTTTTTCAAAACCTGGTTGAATAATCAGAAACTCTGCTTTTCCCTGTGTGTTGTGCTATATACTTGAAAGAAGTGCTCTGATTCCATGCAGATAGACTGAATTATTTATAGAAGATTTGTATATCTGATGGTAGTTTGCTGAATTGCCTTCTACTTTATAAAGGAGCTTAACCTATCTTCACTGTTTTTGTAGAGAGCATAAGTTCCAGATTTAGGTACTCTGAATCATCACTGGCATCAAGAGCTGAACTTTTTAGATTAACCTGCTCCCAAATATACCCCAGTCACTGATTAGAACATTCTTAGAACTCGCTATTAAATATATAATATCAATTTCATTTAACATTCTTTTAGAACTTTTTAAAATGTTGTCAGTTTCATTGAACTTTCTTTTAAAGACCCAGCCGTTTTTCTTTTTAAAAGTAGCCAGGAATTTTCTACCTATACAAAAGATCATCAATACCATTAACTCAAGGTTGTTCTTTGAGGCTTAGCTGCTACCAGACCAGGAAAAGTGCAACACAAAAGACATCATTTGATACAAAAAAATGTGTGCCATAAATTCACATAAATCCTCTCTGTTAACTCCTAGGCAGTTTAAAAGAAGGAACAGTCTACTATGTTTTCTTCTACTAGAACAGTTAGATTTTTGCTATTATCTCTTACTGAACTATTTGGAATATAATTTCAATAATTATGTCCTATAAGAAATGGGAAAGTATGGATAATTCCTATAATTTTATTATTAGATGCACAGATATTACTATACTGGTATAAATTTGAATCCGAGTGTTCTAAAGAAACCAAGATTATTTCATAATTTGTTTGTTTAGGCTTTAAGACATTTTTACTAAAATTAAATTTCCTGTAATGCCGAATGCATTTGAAGTGAGACCATTTTAGAGGAAATAGTATTTGAAATTTTAAATTATAAATATTAGGCTTGTAGGATGGTCCTGAACTGTGTAAGCTAGTATAGGGATGATGACATTGAAAACATAGGAAGTCATTAAGACTATTGTAAACACTATTAAAAATTACTAATGCCATTTTCCTTATTTTTTTATTGCTTTATTGTGTTTTCCTTACTTGCATTTTTTCAGACATTCATGATCAGAACAGCAAGAAACCCGTTATGGTCTACATCCATGGCGGATCTTACATGGAGGGTACTGGAAATATGATTGATGGCAGCATTCTCGCAAGTTATGGAAATGTCATTGTTGTCACTATCAATTACAGGCTGGGAGTTTTAGGTAAGTGACTCTTTTCTTCATAGAAATATTTGCAAATAAATATTTGATTACTGAATTTTTCCACTGATCAATCATAGATATTTTGCTCAGTTTTGATTTTAAAACTGAACAATCTCCATGATGGATTTTGAATTCTGTTCATTTTTTAATGGAAACTGGGCTAAACTACATTATTTTTGACAACTGCCTTTACCTTAAAAAGAAATTGACTGGAAATGTATAATGTTTTGCTAACTGGTATATTTTTCTTAAATAAGTTCTATTCTATGTTAAGAAAAATAAGAATAAAGTCAATCAAGAATGGCTCCTCACAGTTTTTAAACAGTTGGCAATGGCAAGAAGAAGAAAAATGTTATTTTTTATCTATATTTACTAATATTGTGTGCAAATTATTTCTTAGAGATACATATAAAAAATAAAGGCCATATACACACATATACAATCCATAATCATGGTGCATAGCATGTTCCAAAATTTTGTCCAAAATAAGGCTTATTTATTTTTTGAGGTTCTGCTTTTCTATAGAAAAAATAAAATCTGAAAAATGGCAGAAAATGGCAGACATTAGAAATAATTGTTATCTTAGTGAAAAAGCTTATGGTTTTTATAGAACAGAATACAGAATGCTCAAATGCCCATATTTCTGGCATTTTAGATACACAGGGTAAGGTACAGTAATTTTCTTTGTGTGTCTTTTTACAAGGACTTATGATCTTTTTTTCTTAATGCAAAGCTGACCTATTTTCATGGTAGGTACTGTTTTGGAACTCAGAAGTCTTCTGTTGCTGCGTTATCTGTTCATGCTGTTCATGTTTTTCAACAATTTTATAGTTCATGAGAGTACTGAGAATTTTTTTTCTTGTCCCCAATTTTGAGAATTCATTAAATATAAAAGAGTATTTTTTTCTATGGTGAAAAGAGATTTAAATTTAAAGCCAGAGATATAAACATATATCTTGGTATATTTATGCATGCAGTCTTGGTACTCAGAAACACCCAAACAAACAAAAAAAGCCCTGAATAAACAAACCAAACCAAACAAAAAGAAAACCCAAATCCCACACAAAACAACAAAAACAAACAAAAAACCAAACAAACAAACAAAAGGACAAGAAAGGAAGAACTGAAGACACAAGAAAACAAATTGCTGCTTTGGTTGTTGTCAAACAACATGTATACCCAGAATCTTGTTAGTTATTTTTCTGTAAAAAAGATTATTTAATGCACCTCTTTAAAAAGTTTTATCTTGGTTTTTTAAAACTAACATTGTTGAAGGATACAAATAAGTGTAAACCACTATAAGTGTTTTAAAATGTTTCATTGTCCCTCTGTATTTTATAAATCTGAAGGAAAAAGTGCAATATTTGCCTCAGTGAACTCCTATTTTATGTATTTATATTGAAATCAAACAAAATAGAAGAGTCAGAATGCTACTTTTTCATAATTGTGCAATTCAGGCAAAAAAGCACAAAACAAGGGCATTTATATGAGAAACAGAAAAGTAATATTAGTCAAGATTTTAAATGGATTAGGAAAACCACATATGTGTATTGACATTAAATATTGCTTCTCAACAGTGGCAAATGTAACTTTCAAGTCTCTATGGAATTTATTCTTTATTACAAAAGTCTGTGTTTGAATTAGAAAAACAGAGGATATTCAGAAAATGTGTATACACTTAAAAATCAGAGGAAATCTGTTTTATGAACATATTTACATTTTTTCCTCCTGGGTGAAATGTAAATGTGATCATTGAGAGCTCATTAGGCTCTCCCTGGACATTGGAAGATATTAGGTGAATTCCATGTATTTTTGACTTGCTTCATGCGTTAAAAAAATGAAAAAGAAACACACATTTCTTCAGAAAAACAACCCTGTGTAAAACAAACATGACTATTCATAAGAGTTTAAAAAGTAGTGTAATTTTATGACATATGGTTTGAATACTAACAATATTTGTATCCCTTTCTTCTAGTCTGGGTTACTGGAGGTCATATTTCTGTAAATCTGGTGTGTTTCAATGGTGCTTGATTTGTAAGTGCATATACAAAGTCACATACAAACCTGTTAATGACAGAGGTGTGTAATTCTATTGCTATTATCTCACCCTGTAATGAAGGGATATAGATCTAATTGACCTCAGTGCTGAATTGCTGGAGATGCTAAATTCCTCTGCAAAATTCACTTGAATTGACATGTATACTGGATCTTATACTCTCCATAAATGTTAGTATTGTTCTTGAGACACATTAAATTATTTTTCTTTCAGTCTATAGTGTGTCATTAATAGCAGTAGATAGATAAAATATTAGGACCACACAGATAACCACTGGATGATCTTAGACAAATCATAGAACCAAGAAATGGTTTGGGTTTAAAAGGATCATCCTAGATCATCCAGTCCAATCCTGATGCCACGAGAAGGGACATCAGTTACGTCAGGTTGCTCAAAGCTTGATCCAACCTGATCTTGACCACTTCCAACAATGAAGCATCTGCAATTTCTCTAGGCGACACTGTTCCAGTGTCTCCCCACCCTCATAATAAAAAATTTCTTTTGCCCCCTGTTCTGCCACTGTAGGCCTGGTTAAAAGTGTCTCCATCTTTCTTGTAGGCACCCTTTGTATATTGCAAGGCTATAATAAGGTCTCCTAGAAACATTTTCTTCTCCAGGTTGAACAGTCCCAGTTCAGCTTTTCTGACCATTTTTGTGGCACTCCTCTAGATTTTCCTTAACAGGTCTGTGGCTTTCTTGTTCTGGGGTCCCCAGAGCAGGATGCAGCACTCCAGCTCGGGTTCTACAAGACCAGAGCAGAGGGACAGGATCAGCTCCATCAAGCTGCTGGCCACACTGCTTTTGATGCAGCCCAGGATGTGGTTTGTTTTCTGGGCTGAAAGTGCATATTGCTGTCTCTTGCCCAGTATTTTCATCCACCATTATCCCCAAGCCATCTCATTCATCTGTCTGTAAAATACTGGAGTTTCTTCCAAAGGTGGTACAGGACCTTTCACTTGGCTTTGTCAATCTACTTGAGGTTCCCACTAGTCCACTTTTCAAGCCTTTCAAAGTCCTTCTACATGGCATCCCTTCCCTCTAGTACATCTGTGGACATAATCTTTGTGATGTCCACACAGGTCCTGCTGGTGCACTTAATCCCACCGTCTATGTCCTTCATGAAGGTATGAATAATATTGGTCCCAGTATGAACCTTTAAGGGACACCACTGGTTATTGCTTTGCACTTGGATATTTATCTGTTGGCTGTAAATTTTGAGTACATGGCCATTCAGCCAGTTCATTATCCATCCAACGGTCCATCCATAAAATTCATATTTCTTCAATTTATTGTCAAGAATGTTATGGGGGATCTTATCAAATTTCTTAAAAGCATCCAGGCAGATAACATCCAGTCAATAGCATCGACTGTTCTTTGCTTGCTGCTGATGGAGTCACATTATTGTATATGGCCTCTTATTATTGTAGGTAAGCCAGACATGATTTGCTCTTGGTGAAGCTATGATGCTGTTTCTAGTCACATTTCTGTCTTGCATATGCTTCAGTATAAATTCCCTAAGGATTTGTTCTATGACCTTATTGGGTACGGAGGGGAAGCTGACTGGTCAGTATTTCCCAGGATCCTCCTAAGTATCCTTTTTAAAACAGATGTGATATCCCCTCAGTCACTGGGGCCTTCCTCAGATTCCCTGGTTTTTCAAATGTAGTGGAAATTGGCTTAGTGTCTGCATCTTTTATTTCCCTCAAGACTTTTTATTGGGTCCCATGGACTTCTGTATGCTCAGGTTCCTCAGGTGATCTGAAAAGGGATCTACTACAATGGTGGAGACTTAATTCCCCCAGTCTCTGCCTGAAAATTTGGGCATTTGACAGATGTAGGAAGAGAGATTACCAGTGAAAACTGAGGAGCAAAAAAAAAACAAACAAAAAGTTTTAGTACCTCAAACTTCTCCATAGCATTTTTCAATAGTTCTCTTGTCTTATTTATTGTGGGAAGTACATCGTCCTTTTCTGAGCAACAAGTCTGTAAAAGCCTTTCTATCCAGTCTTCATATTCCTTGTCAAATTCAGCTCCAGCTCTGCCTTAGCTTTTCTAATCCCATCCCTACATAACTGGACAGCACCTTTATCTTCTTCCAAGGATATATGTCCTTGGTTCCACTTCCCCAAAGAATGGATACAACTGAGAAATTAAAAATTCTGGTCTAAAGTAAATGAAAGGACAGACATCTGAGTCAGAAAAGACCCTTTTTAATGTAGGTAATGTAGATGTAACATCATGACATTCAGAGTTATAAAACATTTTAACTGAATCATAGAGACAAACATTTTCATGTCTATCTTTTCTCCTTGCATAAAGGTAAAATATAAGTCTTTACATTGTGCACTGAAAAATTTTTGTCTGTAACTCCAAAAGTACTCCCTGTCATAGAGGACTGCAGAGAAGGTCTGGGAATAATTTTCTCATCTCTCTCTTTCTCTCTAAGTAGCACCATGACAAAATAGCAGACAGATGAGACCAAGACTTTCCAACTTTTTAAGTATATCTCTCTTTCCTTCGAGTTTTACAATTTCCTCTAACTTCTAGATTCCCAAGAATGCATGCAGCAATAATGTGAATTGTTATTTAGAAGGCCATATTTTACCTTTAAGTATAAATATGCATTTATCAAAATGCATTCCATGGATAGGATACTTTTGGGATAAAAAATTAAAATATTTACATTTTTCTTCTACTTTTTGTAGTGAGCACTGTTTGAAGGATGCTGTGGTGCTGTGCTGAGTTTAATTATTTGTGTACTTCAAGGCTTGTGAGGATCCTGCCTCTGCCCAGCTAGGCAGTTTCTGTTTTTACTCATACCTCACCACAGCGATGACTGAAGATGCTACTGCAGCTAGAGGAAGCTGCTAAGTTGTCCCAGTGTGAGCCAGTGCTCCTGTATACTGAAAAATTCAGTACTGTAAAACACAGAAGTACTAAATCC